CCCCCACCCTGGCCAGAAACCAGGGTGGACAAGCCTGGGTGCCCATCATCAGTGGAGTCAGGCTCTGCTTTAGCAAAGACTTTATCCTACTTACCTGCAGGAGAATGGAGCTTTCACCCTACACCTTCCTCGAGTCTTTTAAATCAGCAGGTTTTAATAAGTACAAATATACTTTTATAGACATATGCTTTTGTAACAATTTTAGGCATGTTCACAATATACAATCCGAAAAGCAGGCAACTCGTTGGTTCATTACCTGTTCTTAAGGGAGCTGGAGGACAACAAACTCACACTGATTTCAATCAGGCACCTGCTCAAAGCAATTCCCCACGGGGAAGGCAACCCATTTTTTTTTTCTAATTGTAAAATACTGCATCATGTTTCTAACCTTGGACTATCATTGATTTTTTTTTTCAGGTGTGGTGAGAGAAATGCCAAGTGTGATGTCAGCAGGCAGCAGTACATGGCACAATTGCTCTTTCCAAAAGCAGAGCACTGAATGCCAAGCGAAGCACCAGCTGGATATCGCATGATAACAGAGACAAGATACAGGATGCACGTTTGGGGCAAGGGAGGCAAAGGTTTGACCCCTCAAACCCTTGGGGTTTGCTCTGTCAAGGCCGGGTTGCTATATCATTACGATAAGAGTAATCCTGTTAGGCAAACAGATCAAACAAATAGTCATTCCTGATTGCAAACCTTGTCTAGGCAAATCTAACCCTGGGTTAAAAATGTGCCGAGTGTGCAGTCGTGCGGCACAGAGTGCTAGGGGCTGAGCAAGGGATACATTGGGGTCTCCTGTGCCCCAGGACCCCAGTGCAGGCATGCTCTGAGGCTCAGGCTAATGCCTTGAAACAGAGTAAGTTCCCTCTCTTTCCCCTTCACTTCTTGTGTAGAAGAGGACAGATGACTCTTATGTCAGGCTGTTTTGCTTCTATATTTATGTCCTGCCTTAGGCTCACAATGTTCAGCTCAGATGCAATCCAGTCTGGTCATATTAATACATCTGGGAAAATATTTTTAACAACAAACATGAAGCTGAAGGCCAAAATCATCCACAGGCACCAGGAGCTCTCTGACCCCTCTTGTCCACTTGCCTACAAAACAGAAAGGCTCCCCAAAAGGTACTTTTTTGTCTTTTAAGGGATAAGTACGCTTTTCAGCATCCCCCTGTAACATACTGGATCAAATTTAATCTCTGCTGCAGCTCTGGGACATTTCCACTAGGATGAGCGTGGCTCATTTATTACAGGTGCCAAACTCAAAGCTTACTGAGGGAGGGGTGGCCCATGAACTAAGCCAAAATAAAGAGGACACTGATGATAGCCTGTGCCCACCCCTGAGGGCTTGTGAGATAGCTCAGCTGAACGGCCTTATCACCTTGCTGCCCACCTCACTTCTGCCAGACCACTTTTCTCTGCCAAGAACAAGAATAAAAAGCAAGTTTCAAAGCCTTAAGAATTGGATTATCCCACCAGCAAACACTGACAACCTCAACAGATCCATGACACCGGGGTGAGCGATTTATTCAGCCTCCCATCAGCAGGGACTGACATTTGACAGCGGTCAACCCTCATGCTATGTACTTCCTCCAGAGCTGGTGGAGAGATTTCCTTTCCAAAATGAAGTGTTTCAGAGCTTCAGTTGGGTTCCCAAGCGTCATTTGGGATGCAGATTTTTGGAATGGTGTCACATTTGCCCAGCAGCAGCCAGGAAACGAGAGTAACAAGAGAAGACTTGTTCGCTTTGCTGTTTCCAAAGCAGATTTTCTTTCATGCTGTGGGTCAAGACGGAGCTGACCCTATTACACAGCAAAGAAAGCAAAGCAGCCAGGGTTATGTGCGGCTCAGGCTCAGTGTGCAATGATGATTCATACAAAGTCAGGCAAGTGAAGAGTGACTGTAATACAAAAGACTGAGGAGAACGAAGAGGTGGGTGCTGAGTGAGACAGTGCGGGGGTGAGTGGTGAGAACAGGGTTCAGGGCCAAAACTCCTCCCCTGGATGGGGTGATGTTGTCTGATGGTTTCAGCAAGGGATCCAGGAGCAATGCCTCAACCCAGATCACTGCTGACTCTGTGGCATCTCCAGTGGTCTTGTTTCTCAAGTGAAAATATTTTCCCACTTCCTAGGAAAACTCCTGTGTCTTTTTTCCAAAGTGATTCAAGATTCTGAAATGAAAGGACACAGAGATCTGTGACAGCCACTTGCAAATACACCACCCCCTACCCGTCCCAAAAAATGGAGATGTGCAAAACCGGCACACAGAAGGCACGTAACGCGATGGACATTACAGACTCAGAGGTGGGTGCAGGAGGGGGATGCTTTCCTCTTTGCATCTCATGTGCAACAGGCATCCCTGGTGAGTTGGCTTCATCACCGCTCAGGGAGGAGACGTGCCCTCCTCCTTCTCGGGGAGGGAGAGGACAGTCCCCAGGCAGCCTTCCTCAGCTGTCTTCCCATCCCTGGTCCTGCAGGCAGCCATGGGCCCTTCTGCCTGCTTCCTGGCTGGGTGCTCCAGAGATGACAGAAATAAGGATAAGCTCATCAGGTGGGGAACCAGTAGCAGTAGAGGAAACAGAAAGGTTTCTGGAGGAAATGTTTATCTAAGACTTCCACGAGGTGTCAGCAACAGCTGTTATTCATCACAGATAAACGGAGCTGCCTGGGACTGCCATACATCCACCTCTTCACCTGGCCTGTCCTCACCAGAGGAGAACAAGTCCTGTCTAGTGACTACCAGCAGCACTGCTGCCTGCTCTCCCGCAGGCCAGCACTGGATGACCAGCCTCTGTCCCCTAACACTGCAGAGCAGAGGGGTCCTCACACAAGCCAGGACCCCAAGGACCAGACCAATATACTTGCATATTATTCCTGACCTAAAGAGCTCACCAGCTAAAACGGGCTGGTCAGAGGGGCGTTACTGCACCCCTTCTGCAGATGGGATGCTGGTGACACAGTGAGATTAACTGGAGGTCAGGTGGGAAGGGGACATACAGCGTGTATATTCCAGCCCAGCACCCCTACTGCAAACCCCTGAGTCTCCTCACTTCTTTCTGAAGATTAATTTTAGCTAAACAGGACATTAGGCCTTTCCTTCTGACTTGTTGACAAAGACCCCAGAGCCAGAGGCTTAAAGCAAAGCTAGCAGCTCTGCTGCTCCAGCCCACCACAGGTCTGGGGCTGTTGTCCAAACTCCACTGACCTTTGGACCTGAGCCTACTTTCGAGAGAGAAGACCAGTAAATGTCCAGAGCCAAACCTGCACACAAAATCCTTGCAAGGACAGGAGTAAAACCTGTATCTTCCAGCCCATTTCAAAAAGGAGGGATGTACTCTTTGCCCATCTTTCATCTCATGCTCAAACTCAGTGCTAAACATTAACTATGTTCAGTATGCTGATACTGTCTATTTTCCTATTGTTTTTAATTACACCCACAATTGTGTCCATTATAGTCAGTATGATCCTGCCCTCAGTTTAATGAAAACAGGAAACAAATGACGTCTGCTACAAGAAATGGCAGAGCTTTTCGCTTCATCCCATTACAGGGCTGGGTTTCAGTAGCATTAAGCAGGTTTTAGTTGGTCACTGGCTGGAGAAACCAAAGGATCGACATCCTGGAGGAGGGTGAAGAAAAAAATAGCTGCAAGAGGGCACGTCACATTGCTTGGACGTGGTCACACCAACAGAGTAATCTTCGTCATGTGCCAAGGAACCTGTGATAAGCCTTCTCATAGTCGGATCAGTAATAAGATCAGTTACTTAATTCAAAGTGATTAAAACCAGGCTAGACTGCAAACAAACAAGTCATGTCCGTGGGTCTGCATGTAAAAAATATGCCACAAAATTAAAACCTTTCTGGACTGTTATGTTTCACCACTAATGCTGAGCACACAATTTGGGGTGCAAACATGGTACTTTTTCTCCGGTGCAGTTCACAAACCAGCTGCCTTTCCTACAGACAGGCTCCTGCTTCGAATGTGTGTGACAAATACACTTTGCAAACAGGGGCCTGGCCTCTGGGTTACTACCCACCAGCTGCGAGGCCGCAAGGACTCAGCACGCTCTGGCCTCTTTTTAAACCAGTGCTGGGGCCCAAAGCACCCAGTGGTTGTAGCTGGTCCCCCCCCGCCCCCCGGTACAGAGAGCTTGGCCCGAGGAAAACAGTCCTGCTTCCACACCAAAGCCATTAATTTCCTACGCAAAAGCCAATTTGGCTTACCCAGGCATATGTGGAAGATGAGTAGAAAGGGCTTGGGCAACCTGGCTTGTCACCATGCTGGACATCCAAATCGACAGCAATGCCTTGGTGACAGGAGGGAAAGGATTTGGGATGCGTGGTCAGGCAGGGCCATCTCCCGGAGCAGGCGGCATGCAGAGATGTGCTGGGTGCTGCTGCCATCAGCAACAGGCAGCGAGGTCCGGGTGGGGGATGCTGTGCCCGACACAAAGGAAGGGCTATGGAATTCTCTGGTTTTAAACAATTTCCTTTGATCCTGTGCTTTGGTGCAAACTATCCCGTGCCTGCAGTAATAGGATGCGACTGACAGGCGAGTGCCCCAGCAACAGCAGGGAGTGGTGGAGGCGGCTGCCTTTAATGAGTTTTCATCTGGAATCAGACACGAACGGTGAAAGAGGATTTTCCGTGCCGTGGCTGACATCCGAGACGCGAGGAGTTGTGGTGGATCTGCGGGGATCCTTGGATGACGAGTCGCACTGACAAAAGCTGGACGTAATTCTCTCTGGCGAGGCAGCTCAGCGCACATTACCCTGATTTCTCTTCCCTCAGATGTGGTCACCGAGTTTCTGAGCGTGACAGTGGCGTGCAGTGTCCTGCCCAGCTCACCCACCTACCTGCATCCCCTCACACGGACCCCTGCGGTCTGGTGTAAGCATCGCGTGGCAGGGAAGAAGTTACAAAGCAAACCGAGCACAGTTTGAGCATTGTTTCCCTGCCTGAATGGCGATTCAGAAGAGGCACGACAAAGTGAGCGGTTGTTCCTCGCCAGCTCCGTTTCTCATCGGGGTCAAGGGGAGGGTTGGCAGCATGCCGCAGGCTCCCTCCCCGCCGCCCCGAGCAGCTTTGCAGAGAGGGCTGCAAGAAGTGGGGTGTTTCGGCAGGTGCCTGTGATCTGCCCCTGGTGTGCACACACACACACATCGTGCTGGGACACGCGGAAAACGTCGCCCGTTCCAGCAGCGCTCAGGAGAAGCTGCTCTCCCGCACTGGTGAGGGGAAGGCTGGGGAACCCCAAGGACGGAGAATCCAGAGCTGTCGGCCATGAACACGACAGCAACCGGCGTCGCCCAGCTGCAGAGGGTCGGGTCACACCCTCGCCGATGGAGAGGGTGCTGGCTGCAGGCGGAGGGACATGCGGGGGGTCAGACACACAGTGCGGAAGAGGGAAATGCGCTGAGCATGGAAGGGGTAAGGATGGAGCAGATCCCAGGATTTGTTGACAGGGAGGAGGCCTTGCAAGAGAGATCTTGGTAATGACAGCACTTGCTTTGCCAGTGTGTGGCCTGTTGCCCGTACATGCGTGTTTTAGGGCCCAGGGACTGCAGGAGCCCCAAGGAGGGGTCCCTGGTGCAGGGCTGCCGGCAGCGCCGGGCTCACCCCACGCCACCACCATTCCCTCGATCTTGTGCAGCCAAAGCCCGGGGGGGTGACCCTCAGCGGGAAGGGCTGCCGGCAAATGTCACTTTGTTGGGAGAGAGCCACGGGTCTCGCAGCGAGCCCATGTGCACACACTCGTGGGAGCCGCCGGCTGCAGCCACCCGCGGGGGTGGGCAGGGGCGAGCCGAAACCGGCGTGGGGCAGGCGGGGAGGTGTCACGCCGCCTGCCCGGGGCTCTGCCTGGCCGCAGCCTCCCGGGGGCCCGGGCGTCTCAAACCTTCTGCACGCAGCTCTCCCCGTGGCCCAGACGCCATGCCCCCAGGCACCCCATGTGCCCAGGTCCCTGTGTGCCCCAGACCCCACAGACCCAGGACCCCATGCCCCCCTGTTCCCTGTGTGCCCCAGACCCCACAGACTCAGGACCCCATGCCCCCCTGTTCCCTGTGTGCCCCAGACCCCACAGACCCAGGACCCCATGCCCCCCAGGTCCCTGTGTGCCCCGGACACACAGACCCCATGCCCCCCAGGTCCCCGTGTGCCCCGGACACACAGACCCCATGCCCCCCAGGTCCCTCTGTTCTCCACACTCCACGACCCCCACGTGCCCCTGACCCCACGTTCCCTGCCCTCCCTAACCCCGCGGCGCCGCGCCCCCCGCTCACCATGACCCTGGGACCCTCCACTCCGCTAAACCCCGCCCCCCGCCCCGTACCCCCGCCCCGCCCCGGCAGACCCCGCCCCCGCCGCCGCTCCGAGCCGGCAGCCAAGTTTCTCGGAACTTCGCCTCCCGTGACGCGCGGGGCGGGCGCAGGGGGCCGCGGCCTCTGGGCGCAGCCAATGGGCGGCCGGCGGAGCGGGGCCCGGCAGCCAATGGGCGGCGGCTGGACAGTTCCCGGGTCCTGACCGACCTTCACCGCCCGGGGCGGAGGGGGGGGCGGGGGCGGGGGCGGGGGGGGCGATAAAAGGGCCCGGCGGCGGCGCGCGCTCCCGCCGCCCGCCCCGCCCCTCCCCTGCGGCACCGGCACCGGCGGAGCTCGGCGGAGCGGTGAGCCTGCCTTCCCCCCCCCCTTCCCCGGCACCGGGGGTACACGGGTGTACCGGGCGGTGTAGCGGGGCCGCCGCGGCGCGCTGCCCACCCCGCCTCCTCCTCTCTCCGCTCCGCTCCGCGCCGGCGGTGGGACGCGCGGAGGCGGCCGCACGGCACTGACCGCCCCCTTTCTGCTCCCGCAGCTCCGGGGCTGATGCGGCCTCTGCGCGCCGGGGTGGGAGGCAGCCCCCGGCGGAGCCCGGCCGCCCGCCATGCCCTGGAGCGTCCGGTGGGTCGGTGGCCACGGCGCCCAGTCCCAGAAGCAGTGCAAGAAATCCTCCTTCGCCTTCTATCAGGCGGTGAGGGACCTGCTGCCCGTCTGGTTCCTGGAGGACATGCGGACCATGGAGGTCTTCCACTGGGAGGACGGGGGCAAGGTGAGCCTGTACTCGCCCTCGGAGGCCCTGCTCTACGCGCTGGTGCACGACCACCAGCCCTACGCCCGGCACCTGCTGAGTAAGTTCCCCCAGAGCGCCCTGGCCGTACCCAGCCAAAGCTTCAGCTGCTGCCAGGCCTCGGCCCCGCACTTGGCCATGGCCGTCCGCTACAACCGCGTCCGCATCCTCTTCCGAATCCTCAAGGCCGTCCACGCCTTCCCGCCGGGCGACAGAGCCGCCCACCTGGACCGCCGGGGCTGCAGCCGCGTGGAGGGTGGCAAGACGGCCCTGCACGTGGCCTGCGAGCTGGTGCGGCCCGAGTGCTCGCTCCTGCTGCTCGGGCACGGCGCCTCGCCCTGCTTGCGGGACAGTGCCGGGAATACCCCCCTGGACACCTTGCTGCAGCAGATTTCCCACGCGCCGGCAGCGAACATGCGTGCCAAGCTCCTCTGCCTCGACTGCCTCTTCTTCTTCGTGCCTCAGGACCTCCAGTTCTCCATGAAACAGCAACTGTTGGACAACCGGCAGCGGTGGCAGGACCTCCTGGGGGAGAACAGGTTCCAGTGCCTGGTGGGCTCCGCTCCCCCGTCGCTGTTTGTCGGAGCCATGCGTGTCTTGATCAGGACCATTTCACCTGAGCATTTCCCAGAGGCTCTGGATAATCTGCCTCTGCCTCATTTCCTAAAGCCTTTGGACTTGAAACTGGAGAGCTAGAGGGGTGGTATGAGAGCCTCCCGCTCACCTGACAGAAATAGACTGTTGTGCTAAAAATGTATCGGTATATGAAGCTGCTAATGCAGTGGCCAAGTATCTGTTTTAATTAGAACTGTATTTTTAAAAAGAATTCTATCTAGCACTTTACAATATATTTTATTTAAAGATATCCTTGGTGAGGTGAGGGCCGCACTGCATTTTATAAAAACATTCTATGGTATGTACAAATGGGGGGGGGGGTGGTGTCAGAATATATTTGTAAATACAGGCTGAATAAACCAGTGGCAGATGTGATCAAAATACAAATTGAGTGACTGAAAACCCTGAAGTGGCATGTGCCTTGGAAAAGCATGCGCGGGGTGGGGGAGTATCTTGTCATTAGGATTTCCCTGTTATATAAGCCTCGTGGTCCTGGAACAGGATGACTCCTTTTTTACAGCTCTCCTAATACATCTTGGCAGGCATGCAGGGTTTTTTTAAAGGCACAGATGAAAACTTCCTCATCTTGTACACAAGACCAAAGAGAAGCCAAATACTATTAAAGCTTCCCTAAACAAGGCTGGCAGGGATGTGCAGCTGAACAAAATGTGTTTTAAAATATGCAGAAATGACAGTTGGTTTCCTTGCAAAGTTCTTGCAGCTCCCCTGGGAGAGCCAAGGTGCCTGTTGTCAGGCAGAGGAGAGCAGGAGGGCACACGCAGGGCTCTGGCCAGCCCTGCTCCTGCGCCGGCGGGAGGCAGGGATGGACCCTGCGGGACTGCTGCGGGGTGAGGAGGGCAGGGCAGAGCAGCAGGGCCAGCCTCCTTGTCCCTGCCCCCCCGCTACGTCCAGAGGGGTTCAGCTAAGTCTGGCAATGGCCTGGGACCCTAGAGCAGCTCTTTGGGGTGGATTCTGGCCCCTCTGCTGCCAGTCCCCAGGACAGCATGGCTTAGGTTCGGCTGAGTGTCTTGGTGGCCAGTCTGAGTACCAAAAGAGTAGCTTAGATATCCAGCCTTACCCCACCTCTCCCTTCTGAGATGCTGCAAGCTACATAAAACATCTTCCCAGCTGCCCCAGATCAAAAAGCCCTTTAGGGGTAATGTCCTGCCTCTAACACTTGTGTTTAGACACATCAAAGCCCTGAGCAAAGGGTACTGGCTCCAGCCCTTTGCTCTGCAACCTTTACTCTGCAGCAGTCTGGGCAGTCACACTGCTTGCTTCCCCATGAAACTGGCACTGCCTCTGCCTGCTCCGCAGGGAGCGAGCTGCAGTGGCTCCACCAGCATTGCAACAGCAGAAATCTCCTAGGCCACAGCCCTGTAGCTTTGCCTCTGTTCTTGGAAGTCGTCAGTGAAACTGTAGGGTTTTGTTTCAGTGCTTAAATGTGTAGCCAGTGAGTCGTTTGCCACTTGAACTATTTCAGCACTGTTGTTCCCTTTGGGGTCATCAAGGAACTGATGTGCTCAGAGAGGAGAGGCCATGTTCAAGGCACAGATTTCTTTATCCGTGAATTAATTTTGGTTAGGAAAAAAGAAAACCACAGAATGAGGCACTATAAGCTGTTCATGCTTCAGCAAAACAGAGTGGTATTTCATCTAAAATAATCTCCATACAGCACTGCACAATAAAAGATAAGCCATACTTCTAAAATTTGAGATGCAACAGAAAGAAGATTGCTATTCTTAGACTGATGGCACGGAAAGTGTTTCCTAGAAGAGCAAATGTTCCTTTTTCCTAAGAAACCAAACTGATACATGCTCAAACTAATTACTATGGGAAATTTAGGTCCCTTGCTGGAAAGCATAGAACAACTCTTAACTGTTCTCTTCAGCTACCTTGCTGATAATAAAAATACAGAAATCCAAAGAACTAATCCCTCACTTATCCACTTAAAAACAAATTTTAAAACATCTATGTTGCTAAATTCTTGATTTGAGTACATGTTCCCCATTGCTTCTGTAATAATAGTGTGGAATCATCCAAAACAGATGAGAAGTAGAGCAGTCGGGTCTCACTCGCACATGGAAGAGTGACTTGAGGTGGGGGAAGAGACAGAGCTGGTGGTGGGAGGAAAGGTTTATCAGCCTTGCTGACAAAGATATAATGAGACTCAGCAGTTGGGAGTTGGTTAGTTGAACTAAATGCTGGAAGACACTCCTGCTCCCAAGCTGTGAGGGTAATTACACATTGGAACTGCATGACAGGCTGGGCAGGACACCCTACACCTTAAAACCAGCCCATTAACAATACAAGAATTCAAGGCCAAAGCTGCCCCTGTGATTCCATACAGCCCTCTCACCAGCTCTCGGGTAATTCACTTCAGCAGACAGAATGATGGGTCCAAAGTCAGCTAGCTGCTGCGCCCCTCCCGTTATTCTAGGACAGAAATCAAGCCTATTGCTGAGACCATGCTGGGATCGCTGGCAGGTCACTGACGGACCTTGCTACGTGTGGCTCGTCGATGTGTCCGAGATGCTTCATCTGGAGAGGCTGAGACAAACTGTGAGCGACCTACACTGGTGACTACACAGATCCCTCACCCAACTGGGTCCAGGCTTGTTTTTCAAACAGTCAGGGCTTGGAAAAAAGGCTGGGGCTTCTCGGCTTTGGGAACAGAAGTCCTTTGTTTATAGACCAAGCAATAGTGGCATCAGCTTTCCTCAGACCGACTTGCCAGCACGTCTCTGTCCTCTGCCACCTGTGGAGTGCAGGCTCCACAGCCCCTTCAGTTCTCCATCTCTTGGTGAAGGCTGCCAGCAAAAATACCTATTAGTGCCACTTGCAACACCATTGCCAAGCTTAATAAAGCAAACGTGGACAGTTTTTATGTCCCTGCAGAAGGGGACTGCCAGGGCTAGCTAGGGTCAGGGAGCCGGCCACAAAGGTGTGGGAAAGAAGACTCACCAAGTCCTAACACCATAAGAACAAAGGAATTACTTAAAAGCTTCTGTCTTACCTGCACAGGTTAATCTAGTCACAGAAGGCAAATTACTCATCTGTAGGAAATGCTTTCAAAAACATATAAAGCAGTATATAGAGTCAGCATTCCTGAAAAGCTTAGTTACAGCCCATTCCTCCTCTAAAAAACTACTATCATGAAAGAGTGATGAAATATCATAACTATTTCCCACATGTTGCTCAAGCACTTTCAAAACAAAATATTCATATACTACCCACCTTTTAGTACAAAGCTGGTTTTATTCGTTGTGACAGATATAGAAGACCTGAAACACTTTCATTCAGAAAGCAAGGGGAGAGAGGAAGTACCAGCTTACTTTTATTTTTGACTCTTTGCAATTGACTCCTCTCTGCAGTTCCCTTAAATATTTCAGGAGTTACAAAGTTTAGCCTGTCTAGAGTGTGCTGAAGGAGCCAAAATCTACTGTAATTTTGAGTAACTCAAGTAAAAGATGGATTTGGGATCTTTAAGTTTTCCTTTACCCAAAATATTAAGTAGTTAAAGAATTTAAATTGATGTGAACACAAAACTAGGTGGTTTAAATAATCTTAAAACCTCCCTTACTATAACATTTGTCTCAGTCTTGCTCTCTGGCGTACTGTCCTGCTATGAAAGCTGCATCCTTGTTCTTGCCATGGTCACGGCCTGGCATGAGCACTGCCAGAGGTGGGCACCTTAAATGTGGCAGAAGAGGCAGATATTAAGCACACCTGAAAATCACCCACTTCATGAATATGCATAGATATGGAATATGAGGCCTAACATCAGCACAGCACACATAATATCTGCTGCAAATAGGTAAGGGTTTCATACAGTTTCAGACAGAGAAACAGGGCTGCTAATGAACAGGCTCCTCTGGGTGGAGAAGTCTTGCAAGCTAAGGCAGGCATCAAGGAGAAAAGGAAGCAGGAAACTACTGAGAGCAAGACCAGCTGGGAGAGGAGGCCTTGGCTACAGGTAGAGCTGCAATTACAGGCTGGTTTGAAAATAAAGTTGCAAATAGCAAGGACAAAGATCCAGCACAGAGGCATGGAAAGACAGAGACTAGAATCAGGCCAGGGTGCCAGGTTTGTTTCCTAACCCCTATTTGTCCTATGTCTGGGGCTCAAGTCATACAGGTTTTTGACTTGCAATATAACAGATCTATTGACCTCAGCTGATCATTGTTCATTGCATCACCACATCTTCAGATCAATGCCCCCAACTAGGCAAACAAGGCACCCATGCCATGTGCTTAATATTCAAACAGCACTGTAAATCCTTGAAAACCAACTTCCCTAGCACCTATGTTAATAACAGTACTTGCATCACTGGCTGGGGCCAGCAGCTGCCTGAGGTTAGATCACCATTAATTCCCAGCCTGGCTTCAGTGGTCTCTGCTCCACCTACAACATGTGAAAAAGAAACTCTGCCTATTACTTGCTCAGATCACATCAAACCATTCTCTATTGTCAAGCACAATAATCACATTTATGGTGTTGCGAGGCTGCTGCTTGCACTGACTTACTCCCGCTCTTTCCACTGAGCAGGTACACGGCCACGTGTAACACAGCAATGGAAGCGGCAGAGCTCTCTTCCTAACTCAGCAGCCATAGCAGAAACTTGTAAAAACATCAGAGATCCCTCACTGCTGCTAAAAGAAATGGATCCAAGTTCAGCTGGGATAAAAATGTACCCCCCACTTGCCCTGATGACCTCTGAAAGGACCGGTGTCTCTTTGCCCAATAGTTTAGTTGATAAATGGAAAAAAAACCACATAAATCAACAAAGCAAATCTTCAGGAGCTTCAGGTGTTGAGAAACTCATCATGTTTAGGAATTATTGCTTAAGTCAGAAGAGTCTAGTCATCAAGTCTAAACTGTTCATGGCACAGGCCAGCAATTCCCATGTTGGGCCTATCACATTTGATTGATTTGCAGCATCTGCTTTAAGTCCAACCTTATTTTATAGATTTTTAAACAATGGAGCATGCAAGGCTCTCTGAGGACCTTGTGACTGAGCCAAGCAAAAGTCCCATCCAGATCACCTCAATCTCTCATCTGTCCCTAAATCACAAAACGTCCCCTGTCATCAACCCTGCCTCCTTCTTCTGTAGGAAAACTTGATAATTTCCTAATGCAAATGTGAGAATTGACCAGAATGGATCCGAGTCCGCAAGTAGGGAGGCAGAGACCCACTTCAGAGAAGCAGGGAAAGCAGAAAGGGACTTTGATCTGTCCCACGCTTGGGCTTCAGCTCTGCGAGCAAGGTTTCAGCAAGCACCTGAGCCAGTTAGGACCCTGGATGAGCTCCAGTGACACCAGCCACTGCAAGATTATGTTCCTGGTACTACAAATCTAACGGGAAACACGGCACAAGTCAA